AAGGATAATGATAAAATTGAAAAGATATTGGGACACAATAAATGAAAGGTCTGATTCCCTTTCTAAAATAACTGAATTAGTGGTGCCTTCTAAAATAATAGAACAACAGTCTTACCTTCGGGAAAGGACTATAAACTCCTTAAAAGAACCGTCAAGTCACATTCTATCAGGTGGTTCTTGAGAAAATCAAGGACCACCGGTGACATCGTGCAGAAGAAATGAGCTACGTTCTAAGGCTTAATCACGTTTTTATGCCTTGGCATAAGCTCTGCTTTAAAGTTTTTCACGAAGTCTTTGATAATAAGATGTAACATAATATCCTCTTTTATGAATTTTGCATTGTTCACAAGTAGAAACAATTGGTTTTCCACAATTAGTACAAAGTACACGTTTTTTTATCTTATAATGGAGACGGCATCCCTCAAGATGTGTACATAAAGCACTACAAATTTTACCAGAATTATGTATATATTGGCAAGTATATTCACTGATCATATTTGATTAGGATAAATAATTAATTAAAGTAAAGATTTTATAAAAGTAATATATAATACTTTTTATACACGATGGTTAAAAATACTACTTGTGATAGATGTGGTCTAAATCTTTCCACATATCAGAAATATCAACAACATTTAAATCAAAAAAATCCTTGCCAACCTAAGAATTTTACTCAAGTTCCAATAGGAAATCTAGCTACAGCCCCTGTTCTAGTGCAAAATATTACTCCAACGTAAAATCTAGCATCAGCTCCAGAGGGCGATCTCATTTCGTTCGATGAAAACCAACTGATGTATCAACCAGTTCATCTGAGAGAAGAAAATGTGTCGACAGTCGATCCCGGAATAAGATCTAGTTTAGCTAATAAAACTATTTTAATTTATAAAAATATACCAAATGAATTTGAATTTTATGACGGAAAAAAAAATAGTATGGTATTAAAGAAGATTTTTGTATATTATCTAATAAGTACTATTTTATTAAAACAGATTTAAAAGAAACAGTTATAAAAACATATAAAAGATTTATCAAAGAATTGGAAGCTATAGCAGAAAAGATAAAAGGGCAAGTCGATATGTAAAAATCAGAATGTTATACATTAACAAGTTTAAACTTTTTAAAGAAACTACTTTAGCACCCAAAAGAAGTGAAAAAGTAGATGAAAAAGAAAATGCTTAGTTAAATTTAACAACAACAGGTACTTTATATTGGTCGAAATAGGAAATATCAAACACCTATCGTATACCTATCGGGAGTTCGATAGATATACGATAGGTGTCCTATATCAACAATTATATAATATATCGGGTACCCGATTGGTGAGATTGAAATGCAGAAGTTCGAGCACTTATCGGGTCCATATCGATTTCATATCGGGCATTAATATTTTGACATTTTATTCAAATTTATCATTCATATATCGGGCACCCGATTTTATTTATTTTTTTTATTGGGTACATATCTTTTATAAATCGGTCATAGTATATCCCTATATATCGAGCACAGTATATCTCTGTATATCGGATAGTTTTTTTCCCTCTATCGGGTATCTATCGGTACCTTTTATTTATATATATATATATTTTTACTTTTTTTTATTTG